GCCTCCATCTAGCCTAGTTTATCCAGAAACTGGTGAGACTCTGAAGTGTTCAGTTCTCTCTGACTCTGAGAGGAAACCATGTCCGGCAGCAAACAGGGTGTACTGGTTCAGATCTGGATCCAATCATTCTCATCCCAGTTTACTTTATCTACAAGAAAACAGTGGAGAGGAGTGTGAAAGCAGTCCTGAAGCTCCCACTGCAACAAAATGTTTTTACAACTTCTCTGAGACCTCTGACGCTGGAACTTATCACTGCGCCGTGGCTGCATGTGGACAGATATTATTTGGAAATGGAACTAAGGTTCATTATAAAGGTAAAAGTCTCTTCATCAGAGAATTTGCTTCAATTAACAATGGTGACATAACAAATATATAGCAGAGTACTTTTATTAGATATGTGACTTTAAAGTAAAATACATAATGAATTAATGCATGTAATACTTGATCCAGAATCCAGAATTGGAATAAATAAAATCTAAATGTTCTTTTAGTCGCCGAAATCTGAATGTCTTCCGAGCCAGTTGTACGTCGTAATAAATGGTTTAATATTCTGACTGCCCGACTCAGACAAATTATTTCCAATTTACTATTACTGTCAGCTAATGCAATTCTTTAATATTTGTATATATAAAAATAATCTTGGACTCATATTGAAGTTTCTTGTTTTCTTTGCAGCAACCAACACTTGTTCATCGCTGGTCAGCATTGTCTTTGGATTTGGCTTGGGCATCAGCCTAATTGCTTTAGGTGTCCTCATTTATGGCATAAAGGAAAGCAAAGGCAACGGTAACTTAAGTGATTATTTAATTACACAAAAAAATCAAATTGATATGTTTTATGTAATTTCCATAATTTTCTTTCTTTCTTTTTTCTAACTTCAGTTTCAGCAGCCCAGCAAGCGAAACAAGTGTTATGCAAAAAATGGCAGGCAAATATTTGCACTGCCGTCGTCTTCACAGTAATAAATGACGATAATGGAAAAAAGAAGGCAAACATGGGGACAAAAAAGATCTATGCTGCTGTTATGGAATAAATGACTTTGTAATGTTTCAATTTTAGTATGAAAACCTATGCAAACAGTCAAATGTTTTTCATCATTTTCATTAAATGTGTCAGCTTTTTGTGTTTTATTTAAATTGAACATGTCTGGCCAACAGCCAAAACAGAGATTTATTATGTAAATGTTAAACAGACAGAAAAAGTAGATAAGACTCCATTCATTGCTGGCTCCAATTTAAATTAAATGATAATCTCTGAATGCTCGAAGACTGAAGTGCAAGTGTGAAAATTGTGATTGGCCTAAACATGAGATATTCTGATTGGACAGAACAACGCAGGTGTAAAAAAAAAATAAAATAAAAAAATAAAAAATTCTAATTTCAATATAAAAAAAATATCAAATTTATAGCAAGAAAACTTGTTTTGGTAAAAACACATCTTGTGATAATCGTTTAGCAAATTTATAAAACCTGGTGTTTTGAACCTGTCGCTTCATTTTATTTTCCATTTTTATATTTTTCTGTGTTCTAAATAAAGTGGAAACTAACAAATTGCTTTCGAAGTGTAAGTGCTCTTTTAATTAACTTGGACACCTACATAACACAATTGGTTTTCCATTTGATGTACCACATACTCAACTTTGCTGCTAAACCTACAAATGCACTTCTTGTAAATATGACCCCATTTGAAAAAAAAATACAATCTTTTTTGAGCTCCTAAACTGGCTTATTTACCTGAATTTATATACATGGCATTTACCATGTTTGTTATGCGTAAACTGTCTCGTAGTTTATATTTTTTGTTTTTCCTCGCTTTCTATTTGACTTAAATATGCAAAATAAATATGTAAAATAGAACTCGTGAACATTTAATTTGCCCCTTTGTCCTTCTTACTATCTGATTTTACTGCAAGATCGTTTTTATTAGTTTGATTACACGGTGTGCTCTTTTTGCTCAGCATCCCTTTTATGACGCAACAGCATCAAGCAGAAGCAAGATTAACACAACCCACAAAACAAGTCTCTGGTGTTGTAAACATGCATCTTACACTTTTAAATGGTAAATACTAATTTATTTATTTATATATACAGTATGCACTGTATATACATGTGTTAACATAACATATATTAATATATTTTATGTTAACATAACATGTCATTTTTATTTTTTATTTTTTTGTAATGGCCGTACCGCTCTATGAAACCAAAAGCCACAGAAAGTGAGCAGTAAAGCAGCTACACTGACTGTCAAGAGATGCAACAGGCCATTTCCCGCCCTTTGACCAACCTCTGAAGCTGTTTACTCAGAACAGACCTGACTATAAAATTCACCACATGAAGTGAAACGAAGCTGCAAGATGTATCCGCCTACCACATAATCATAACCTAAATATTTGTCACAGTGATTAATTAGAGGCTCTTCAAATAGGAAAGTAGTTTAGATTCACTATGAAACCTATGAAGAAAAAATAGCAACATAGTTAGTGAGAAACAAAGAGAGAGAAACAAAGAAATAGAATCAAAGCATGAGCAATTATTCACACAGTTTTATCAAACAGTCACTGGATCAACAGGTTTCATTGTTTCATAAAGTTTGATCTGATTTTATTATTCAGAAATTTTACATTTAGCAGGTTAGAAGCAGGCGCCAACCAAGAGATGAGGCAGGAACATGTGAGATGCAGCACAGGATGACGCCTACAGTCTAACCAGAGGAGATGTGGTTATATACCACTCAGGTGCTTTATATTGTAAAAAGGTAAAGTCTGACCACATGTTTTGCCCTTCGGTCAACTACATGCTGAGTCAAAAGAAAACCACACACCAAAATGTTCCAGTCTGTTTTTTAACTACAGTTTTGACCTTTGCTAATTGATCACTTCATAAGATGGTGCACTTGCTACTCAGTTCTCCACTCTACTTCGAATGTTGCTGTTGAACTAGTCTGTTTAATAATGCCAGATATTTCTCATAATTCACAATCAGCTTCTTTCTTCTTCACTGAAAGGTTGGTTTAACATACTCTCAACGCTCGGCAGCACATTTCCTCACTGGGTCGGTTGGCCATCAGGAGAGATGTGCAGCTTTCATTTTGGCTCATTTACACTCAATTCATCCTATTTTTATTTTATTCCTGTGCCAGATGTTGCATCACAAGACTGAATACATATTATTTTTATAAATCAAACAAATGACTTACCATGACTTAACTTATAACATTTACATTTTGAAGGAAGAACAATAAAGTATTCTTTGAAACATATTACCATATGTATAATTTGTTGTTTAAGGGGATTTTTTTTTTTTTTTGGCATTTGCACTGCTATATTTTATTTCTTCCCTATATTATTGCAAAAAAAGTGTGCGTTACACTTACTGACCTGTAGGGACGCTCTTCATAAGAGAACTTTTCCTCCTTCATGTTTCATGTCTGCCTTACTGCCACTTCTGAGATTTGTTGCAACTTGTCAGCCGCTGCACAAACAATGAAGAATTAAGATGGTGTGCTACTTTTCCTGATGCTTTGCTCTGCAGAGATATTGTCTCTAGCTGTTGTACACTTGTGCTTTGTGTGTGTTTTTGTGTGAATAAATGTGTACTTCTGAAAAGGCAAAAGAACTGAAAAGGCCCCTTTTTTCCTCCAATCTTGTCATTAAACTTAGAACTAAGACATTATATCTTGTAATCCATAACAATAGAATCAGTGCTTTGTTGCGTTGGCCTTGAAGATTCTGAAGTTTAAAGTTTCATTTAAGTTCCTTTTTTGTCCCTCTTGTCCTTGCTTATTCTGTAAATAGTTAGCATAAATAGTCAAATAAATTGTTGCTTTCACCTAACATTAGCATTTCAGTGGTTCATAGTTCTTTGTGTGTTTTACAGCTTGTTCCAAGCAACATTGCTGTTTAAGGGATTATAATAGTGGTCTAAAGAAAATAACTTATTTTAACTGTACTTCATATTGTTGCCGTTTTCAACATTTAGGTGAGGATAGCACATTTTAAACCTTTCTCACATTACAGTATAGAGAAATATACACAAGACTCATGAAAGTCAAATAAATCAGGTCTCAGGCCCATATATGTCTTTTTTTTTAAGGTTTGTATTTTGGTCATTGAAAAAAATTAAGACAACTGTAGAGCTACACAGTGTTTACTTCTGTTCATTTTCTGAATTTTCTGAATGTTCTGAATATTCGATTTCTGAAGTAAAGGACCAATCATTCAAAGCTTTACCATGTTGTAATGTCCAATATCCATGAATCAAAGCAACATTATGGTTAGGGTGGTATTATAGTTAAAGTAACAGATATTTTTTTCTGTTACTGTTTGGAACCAAGCATGAGAACAAAACAAATGTGTGATGTTTGTGTTATGTGTGGAAAGTTTGCTGATATTATTTCCACTGAGGTGAAAATGGCAGCATCACCGACGGCCAATCAAATTGTCTTAAGTTTCTCCCCGCCCTCTTTACATACTTAAAATAAAATGAATTGTTTATAATCCCGACAATAATGTGTCCTGACATGAACAAAGCCTCAAGTGGATTAATGAGAAAATGCTGATCATTTTTTACTTCATGCTCTCAGTCGTAGTTGGACGTAAGTGTAAAATGTAAATTCTTTTCTAGATTTTCTTCATATAATTTTACCAAAAACACATTTCTGACTTTTTCTGCTCTGTTCTTTGTTTGTTTTGTTGTGTTTTCATAGGATGCCAAGATAATCTGAGTGTTGAAACAAGAACTGTTACTGTTGGAGAAGATGTGACCCTATCCTGCCCGCGCTCTACGTCTGAGCATTCAGCAATGCTGTACTGGATCAGATTTATTCCTGGACTCTGGCCTGAATACTTGGGAGGAACATATTCCTTCAATTATGATGATAATGTAAAAACTTCTCGTATTACAGCGAAACAAGAGACAGACACCTTTGTCTTGCACATTAGTAAAGTCCAGCACAGTGATACTGGTTTTTACTATTGCTTAAAAGTTGATCTGCTCCACATGACTTTTGTAAAAAGAGAATTTCTGAGAATCAGTGGTAAGGATAAGTAAATATATGCACAATACTATTTTACAATATGGTTAGTGGGAAGAATAAAAACATAATTAACTAAGGCACAATTTTTAAATCTGAGGTTTTTTTATTCTTTGCAGGAAAAGAATCAAACATTACTGCCATCGTTCAACACCCTTTACTTGATCGAGTTCATCAAGGAAGCCCAGTCTCTCTACGTTGTTCAGTCCTCTTTAACACTCAAGATCAAACTTGCTCAACAGATCATAAGGTTTTCTGGTTCCTAGATGCATCAGATAGATCTGATCCCAGTTTAATTTATGCTCCTGAAAACCATAGTAATGAATGTAAGAACCATCCTGAGGATCATTCTGAGCGTAAATGTATCTATAGCTTCTCGAAGAACATCACTGCTTCTGATGTTGGGACTTACTACTGTGCTGTGGCCTCCTGTGGAGTGATTTTGTTTGGAAATGGAACCAAACTGGACATGGAAGGTACAGTAAATCTAAAGCGTTAAACATTTATGAAGATGTGCAGCTATTTTCAATAAATTAGAAATCATTTTAATAAGGCCCATTGGTCAGATTACAAGTATATTTTGAAAATAATAATCTTTAAGCAAGTACTAGAGATGCTTTTAATCAAGCTCATATTTCTGTAATAAAATTGCTTTGTTTTTGTTTTAGGTTTTTTTGGATGTAATATTCCTACTTCAATGTTTTACTTTCATAAGCAGTTATTCACTCGTAAATTATCAAAATTAAGTAAAGGCTTAAAACATGAATCTGTGTATAATTATCTGTTTCATTTAGTGAATACAGTCACTGAAATAAATTAACTTTCAGAATAAATCGCTATTCATTAAATGTGACTGAACTTAAAATAATTTACCAGAAAATGTTTCTATCTTGTCGTTTGTTATAAAAAGCTAACATTATTATTATTTTTTTATGCTTTCAGGTCCCAGCATGTCAGATTTGCAGAAAGCAAATGTAGTTTTTATTGTGTTATGTGTCATTTTGTCTGCAAGTGTGACTGTTGTATTCGTTCTCACTTTCATCCTCATGAAGAAAACCTTTCACTGTTCAAATGGTAAATCAAAATCTATCAGTATATCTAACATTGTACAAAAATATGTTTCTTTAAAATCTCTATTGCACATTAAACAGATGCTAAGGGGCGTCATGATGATCAGCAAATTCAGCAGGTAAATTCTAACATGATCCACTATTATCTGCATATTCTTTTTTTTTTCTTTTTAATTTAATATTTTTTCATAAATCTAATCTTTCCTCAGAGAGATGAGGACTTGTTGGAATACAGCGCTCCCACATTCACCAAAAGGAAAGCTCCCAGAACAGAGAAAAGAAACAAAGAAACATCGGAGGCTGTCTACAGTGGTGTCAATGGATGAGTGTTTGATTAATAATTTCTTCATAAATATGGTTGCTTCTTTCTTCAATTCTTTGAAAACTGTTTAACCAGACCTTATTTTGCCTGTACAAAAGCAAACAATTCATAAAGGTGAAAACTTTAAGTCTTATTGTTAAAAACACCAGGTTTTCTTCTTATTTTTTCATTGCTCAGCAAAGTTGTACTTCTGCGTAACTCCCTGATGTATACTGAGTTATGAATCAATTAAAACAGTATTATTAATTACATGTGTTTATGTGTAACTGATTTTTTTTTTAAAAAGGTTTATGGTAAGTCATTGTATTTTAAACTTTCTTCATACAATGTCTAAATGCTTCTAAAATTGAATATGAACTGTCTAATTAGGATCTAGCAAAACAGATTTTGCCAAAGTTCACATTGAGTTCAAAGAAAAATCTTAGAAATCTGAAAAAGTAGGTAAGTTATTTCCCGCCTTCATATTATGATTGTCAGATTGCAAAACAGATCAGACCATATGAACTGAAAAAGATAAAAATCAAAAATGAAACAGTCACCTCATGAGATACTATAGGCCTGATGGGAGCGTAGCATTTTCAGGATTTTTTTATATTTTATTTTTTTAAAGAAAGTTCAAATTCAAATGAATCTTTAGAATGTATGTGTTTCTTTTTTCTGCATCCCCTTGGTTTTATGGTTTTGGGTTGTTTTATGATCTGTTCAGTCAAATTTCTTAACAAAATAACATTCTTGCAAAGTCTTTGGAAGCCACAATTTTCTTTTTTTATAGACATCTGGAGAGATAGCAGTACTAATTATAGGAATCAGTATTTATATTTGTGCAGCAATAATAAAATCAGCTAATAAAACCAAACATTCGGTACATTTGTTTCAGTCTTCTAAATTTACACCACAAACTCTTCTGCTTAGCATTTTGTCACCCCACAGCGATGTTAAACGTAATAGAAACAAGACAGCAGAGTCTCTGAAACAGTTTGGATCTGAGTCAAAGTAAATGATCCTCAGAGCTGAAAACCTTTTGTTGGCCTGCAGGGGGAATCTCTGGTAAGAAAGAAAAGACATGTACACTTCATATTTCTTTTGTTTATTTGTACACAAGTTCATGCCGTCTCATGCTGCACAAGTTGAAATTAATTAATGTTCCTCTAATACAGAATTACAGTAATTTTGTTACATTTCAAACAATTAAAGAATGTAGTCAACCTTAAACTGTATTAGGAATACTTGACCTTTTGACACTTATGTGGCTACTTTCATTTACCAGTCAAAACTTGCCCCGCCTTTTGTATTTTTATGCATGGGGCTTTTTCCAAGGCATTTACTTAAACTTGTAGTACTTTCTTACACAGACACCAACAGAGCCATAGTTTTTAGAGTTAATGGAGTTTTATTTATCCATCACAACTTTCTACAGTTTATAAAGCAACTATTTATTTAATTTTTTATTTAAAAGTAAAATTAAACTAAACAATGGGAAGCCACACTAAGAATCAGAAGTTGTGTTGTCTGTTTCTCCTCCCTTTGACCAGCTGCTGAAGGTGTTTACTCAGAACAGACTTCTCTGTGAGCGTCAGCCGGATATAAACCCCCGTGGGTCACAAGAGACTTCAGCAGGCTGAATGAGGTCTTGCAAACCGATATGATAATTATGTGATTACTATATAATAATTAAATCAGAATATATAGGGAAAAAAAGTTATTTAAGTGCAAAGTTTGTAAAATTAAGTAAAGCATTGCTCATTTTAAATAATTTGTGTTCCGAGGTAATTTATTGCTTTATATTCAGACATGATTGAAGTCCGTCAGCTGCTGCACATATTGCATCAACAGGAGAAGAAAGTGAAATTCATGTCCATACTTTGTGGGGTCAATTGCTTTGCAGCCTTTTTTTGATGTAAGTAAAAGTTAGTGTAACTGATGCGTACATGTATTGTTCTTTTATCTTAAGAAAGAGCAGCATAAGGTCTGCGCTTTAAGATGAAAGCGGGAAGTGAGACAGGAAGAAAAGCCCCTTTGTTTTCTCACCCCTCTTTGAGAGCTAAACCACAGCAGTGTATAAGTTTCCATGCATCACTTGTTTCTCAGCAGTTAGTGTGAATTTGTTTGCCTCTCTCTGTTAACAATGTGTTAACAAATGTGCATCCTAAGCCACAGTACTAAGAACAAAGAACCATACTTAATAAACTTTGGTTGTTTTTTTTAAATATGTCTCTTCTATGAACAAATATCTAGAAATTGTTTTAGCATGACAGCTTGGAGTATGATATAATTTGGCATTAGGTTTATTCATAATTTATTACTTTTGCAGTCTAATGCATTTTTTGTACATGGTACTAGGAGGGTCTAAAGCCAATGCAACACAGTGAGCTCTGCATCTTGCATGTCCTTAGCTGCTGTCACACAATAGAAGTTGTGGTTTTGTGCTACTGAGCTACTCTACTGTCAGACCAAAATATTTTTGGTTTGTGGTCAACAATATCTTGACCCAGTTGATGGTCGCAAACCAAATTGTTCCAGTCAAAAACAAAAAGTTAATCAGTCATTTTTTTTTTTTATGATTGATGCAGACTTATTGCAACTGTAGCAGTGGCCAGACTATACTTTTAAGACATAATTTACAAAGTATTAGTTCATATAAGGGATGATCCGATTAAAAACTCAATTTTTAATCGGAGTTGACTCCACCTATTTGGGTCATTTGTATGTGACGGCAGCAATGTTAAATCCAATCTGATGTGTTGTACAGGCTTTTTTTTTTTTTTTCGACTGAATACTTTGATGTGTACAACATGAAAACCTTTATTTTAGGACGGCCATCATTGTTTATTGACATAACAAATTTCTGGTTTTTAGGAATTAAATGTTTTCTTAAGTGTTCATACTGAAAGAGACTGTGTTAACTACTGTGCTTCTCAGGGTGGCTGTATTATATAACCTGCTTTGCACTGAGCTCCAATTCTGGTCCTCAGGCCCCTCTTGCCTTGCATGTTTTAGGTGTTCCCCTTGTGTCACACACCTGGATTGAATCTGTGGGTGATTAACAGACTTCTGCAGTACTTGATGGCTGCAGAAAAGGTCATGCAATCATTTCGGTCAGCTTTTCTTGAACAGAGGCATATCTAGAACATGCAGAGCAGACTGGTCTGAGGACAGAGAAAGAAAAACACTAGAGAGAGAGAGAGAGCTGTGCAGAAATCACCTTAAAAACCAGTCAAGATATTCTTCAAATCTTAATTTTATGAAGTACAGATGTTTCCTGAAACTTTTACCTGAACTGAAACTGCACTAAATTACAAGCTAAAAAAATATATATAAGTTTATATGCTAATGCTAGCCTTGCACATTAGCAAATGTCTTCATGCAAAAAAAAACATGAGGCTAAGGACTAGCAGTGTGTTTTAAATCACATAGGTCAGACCTTTAGGACCATAATGTTTCAATTTTGCAAAACAAGAGTAATTTTCTAAACAAGTCACCATAGAGGAGGATATTATGGGTATCCAGTTGAATCTCTTTGACAAAGTATTAGAAGCCAATTCAGAAACATTGTGAGAGTGGAATTGGTATCGTTACGACAAGCTCAAGGTCATAACAAAAACAGGAGACAATGCAGTGGTTAAAGTGCAAAAAAAGAAATATTAATTAACAAAACAATGTATTGTGAATGTCAGTATCACTGGTGAAATGCAAATGCTTGGATGTGATGTATGAGTGCATAGGGAAGTAACAAAGACAAAAACAAAGACAAACTCAAATGTGCAAAAGTATTGGAGCTGAGGCCTGGCAACAAAACACCACAGCCATCAAGAGCAGAGTGGACACCGAAGATGACAACAGTCAGGTTTAAATGCTCTGTGGCCCAAATTAACAAATCAGCAGCACCTGTAAAGGGGAAGAGCACAAAGACAGAAAACAAGCCACCTACAACCCAGCCCATTAAGGCACAGGGCCGTAACAGTATTAATTGCAATAAGACTTTGCCTGCCTGATGGTTTTCAGGGACAAAAATGTCCTGCTTAGGACATCATGCATTATTTAATCTTCAACCAGTTTGTCTACTTACATTGGACAATTATTTCACCAATGCTGTAAATTTGACTTTAACTATTGAGTTAGTTATATTATGCTACAATTAAAACTAAATATCAAAGTCTATTATAGGGCTGAAATAGTAAGAATAAGTTAATTGTTAGCCAAGTGGCCAGCAACTGTTATGTCGCATCTAACAATATTTTCCACTTTTGTAGTCAAAAATTAAGTAAATATGACAAAATTCAGTTTTCATCTCAGAGGAAATAAACTAAGGAAACCTGAGGAAAGCAAAATAATTTCCCTATGAATAAAGGGAACATTGATTTTACAATAAAAAAATAAATAAAAACAGAAGAAACACAATAGAATGGCGCACGGGTTAGCACGCCCCATGTTTAGAGGCCTTAGTCCTCGACGCAGATGTCGCGGGTTCGACTCCTGGTCCCGGCGACCTTTGCTACATGTCTTCCCTCCTCTCCTCACCCTCCTTCCTGTCTGCCTACTGTCAAAAATACGAGCCACTAGCACTGCAAAAACTCTTCGGGACAAAAAAATGAACAAAAAATAAAAAAAAGAAAGAAACACAATAGCCTACTGAAAATTACAAAATCAAAAAAAAGAAAAAATCTGAAAATATAAAAAAGCACAGTGATGGGAAGAAAAGTGCAAAGCTTCTTTGTATATCAACACTGAAAGATGTTGACTCCTCCAGCTAAACTCTGAACAACATCTTATAACAATGTTCTAAAAAGCTTCATCTTATGGACACATCAGTGTTATTAGATGTGTCCAGACATTATTGGAGCACTTAAGCCTCAAAACACCATGTAAGTGATATATATTCTATTGACAAACTGGATGGAAGTGATTAAGCTTTGTGCACATTGGTTGACGGGCCCAGAGCAAAATACATCATGCTTGAAGGCTTCCTGAGATGATATGTGTGAAGAAATCACATCATAGCTGAATCATAAACCACAACTTCTCTAACAGGAGTTTGTCCGATAGAAACTGTGGTGTGTTTTATCAATTGCATCAATGATATTTTAAAAGAAAATGATTCCAATCTCATCATACTGTATAGAATTAATGCCTCATTTATGCTAATGTTTCATTTTGTTCTGCATATTATGAAATAAAATGTGAAGGGATTGGAAAAAATATTTCTTTACATTTAATGATGAAAGATGTTTTCTCATGCACATTTTCAAGACAGCTGTTTGTTGTTGGTTTTCTTTTTTTTTTTGTCAGATACATTAAATTTGTGCAAAGGTTAAAGTTCTTCTTGCCATGACACATTGAGGCAAATCCTCTGTGACTCAGTTACGAAGAATTACTTCAGCTTATTACACATGCGGTATTTTTGAAAGAAAGACAACATGTAAAGAACAATAATCTCTTGGCAATGTTAAGACTGAGCCTCCTTAAAGATGACTCAACTTCTCATAACATGTCCACCTAGTCACCTTCATCTTCCTTCGATGTGTAACACTAAAGTCGGCATCATGGAACCTCAAAGCGACAGCAGAATGTTCCGTGAACTGCCCCCCATTTCACACATATTTGGGCAAACTCAGCTCATTGTTTGAGGCTGCAGGCATGACAGTGACAGGAGTCCTATACAGGTACAGAAAGAGCAAAACAAAGTTGCAAAGTGTTTTCAGGTCTTATGTTTGCTTACAAGACGCTGGATAGTGAGAGACTATATATTTGAGAAATTATCTTTTAGACAAAGTGTTATTTTTTTCTTGCTTGCTTTAGAGCATTTTGGTTCACATTGAAAGTGAAGAAAAGATGAAATGTAAAAAATCTAAGTGACATGCGAGCTTGAACTGAGCTTTTTTTAACCATGTCTGACATAAAACCACAATGAGAATCTGCCATGAAATGTCAGCAGTTTACTGGTGTTTTTTGTTTAGTGCTTTTGTGTCTGAGAGGGCTTCACCTTTTTTCCGTTGTGGCAGAAAAGTAAAAGGGCAACAAAGTTTTTCTAAATTTCAGCCAATCATAGTTCCCTAAACTGGCTCCTCCCAGTTTATATGATCACATTAAGTTGAATCATATCTAATAAGGCCACAGAATCACAGCAATCTTCTGTTGGATCACCAGAAAACAATGCTTTTAATTTATTTACTCTTGATGCTCAAAGATGGTTGTAAGTTAACTCCTCAGATTTCATCTACATTTCACTTCATGTTTCTATTTCTGCTGTTTATAACTGTTTTTTATGGCTGTTTAGGTTGTAAAGATTCTCCCATTGTTGAAACACAGACTGTAAATGTTGGAGGATTTGTGAAGATTGAATGTCCACGCAAGTCAGCTGGAGAAATAATTTGGATGAGGATAGATTCTGAAAATTCTCCTAAAAATCTTGGGAATACAGAGAAAATGTATCCTCATATTAAATTTGACAAAGATCCTGGAATATGGGTGTTAAAGATAACAAATGCGAGTCTAAGTGATTCTGGAATTTATTTCTGTCTAAGAAAGTATCAGGAAAACAAGACGTTTATGAAACTGACATATCTGACAGTTGAAGGTAAGTTAATAGAAAAATGCAATAAAATGCCCATGACATTGTTTTTTGTATGAATTGAGGTTTTTCCAAGCTTTTCAAGCGTTTCTAAAGAAAATATTATTTTATTTCTGTGATACTAGAATCTGCTGTCACCACGGTGCCCACATCTGTTCCACCTCATCTCCATGACTCAGTGACTCTCCATTGTTCAGCCCTCCGTGACTCTCAAAATAAATCATGTTCCGAAGATGAGAATTTGTTCTGTTTTAGAGCCGAATCAATTGAGACGTTTCCAGGTTTCCAATCCACTGACAATGCTGAGGAAAGTGGATTCAAATTTAACTCTGAAGAATGTCTCTACAAGCTGGAGTTTTTCAAGAACTCCAGCTTGTCTGATGCTCAGATGTATCACTGTGCTGTGGCAAAGGATGACAAGAACACATCTATAGAAAAATCAAACCCTATCGTTGAAGGTAATCTATTTTTCATAACACTGAAAGTAAAATATTAAATGACTTCAATGAGTCTTTAAATACAGAACTCCTTTTGTCATGTCAGCAGAAAACAAAGGAGATTCACAAACTTACTATGAAGTTGCCTGTCTGCTGAGTGCTGCTTTGGCTGTCTGTCTGGCCATTATAGCCTTCCTCATATACTTAATCATAGAAATGAATAAACAGTTAAAAGGTTCTCGTGATGGTAAGTTGTCACTCAGATACTGATATATAAAAAATTGAGCTGGAAAACTTGAAATAACTTTTTAAACGGATGTTTTTCTTTTATTTCTCAACTTTAGACGCAGTTGCTCTGCAAGCACATGAAGCAATCAAAGAAAATCCAGAAAGCCAGAAGGTAGTTATAAATAATAAATCCCAATAATAATAAGCAAAATTATGTGTTTTATGTTTTTGTTCTTTTTTCTGTGTTTTCAATCACATGAGGACTTGGTTTATTCATCAGTTTCCACAAGAAGAAAAGCCAGCAAAAAAAGAACAGGGGCCAAAGCGTCTGAAGAGCAAGAAGTCATCTACACAGAAGTTAATGTTCCTGGAGTCTGAAAAGGCTAAGCTAATTTATACGTTTCTGATTTTTATCAAAAGACTAAATTAAAAATGCACTTTGGGTTTTTTTTTTGTTTCGATTTTTGTTTTGTTTCTTTAATGTATTAATATTTCTCAAGTATGTTATTCTACACTCATTTGCTTAAAATAAAATTTCTTCCATGTTTCCCAGGTGGACACAAGCATTTTAAAGCTCTTTGTAAATAAAAAAACATAAATGAAAGGAATTATCATTTGTGAGTTTTATCAGTCAGTTATATAGTTTATTTCTGGATAAGAAAGTGTAGCTTCAAAAATGACTTCGATGGAATTTTAGAAACCATTACATTAAAGTTCAATTCTTAACTTTGCCAACGCTCATTTTTTCCTCTAAAACACTTAGTATGTACTGCTAGAAGATTGAATTTCAGTCAGACTTTAGACATGGTTACTTAAAAAACCGAAAGCTGCCCTGGTCAAAGCACAATAAAAAAATAAAAATAAAAACTCAACTAATATGCCTAAAAGATCAGTTGAAATATTAGTTTTGATGTACCATCCTTTTTTTCCCCACAAATTTGCGCTACAGAATAGAAAAAGAACATCCTTACTCTTAACTATGCACAAGATTATTACAGATTTAAATACAAGTCTGGAAACTCAAGTTGTGTTGTTCTAGAGAAATGTTTTATTCTGAGCCTCTGAGTCAGCTTTGAAGCTTTGTGGGTTTATTCAGGAAGCAGCTGTAACACAGTGACAGGTGTGGAATAGGACATATCTGACAGATTTTGATACTTATTCTTCTTGTCTTTTGTTTTACACGTCAATGATCATGAGTGTTTTGCAATACTGTAAAAAGAATGTAGAATAAAAGTATTTCAATGGCCAAAAATTTGAAAACTGTTTAGTCAAAGAAAAATGTGCGATAAGATTGTACTTATATTTGCAAACTTTATCAAGATTCTCAATATAGCTTTATGAAAATAAAGCTATATTGATAATGAGAATAAAGCTATATTGATAATGAGAATAAAGTTATATTTAACATCTTCTCTAAACCAGCCACAATCTGAATCATAAATAGAAACTTTATAAACAGTTTTAACATCAGGTGGAAGATGCACGTTTCAGTAGTTTCAGTTTATACCAGACAATTCTTCTTTATACCAATCATGAAACATTAACGAAAGCAGAATGCCACCATTTACTCAATAACTAATGTGTATATTTGATTCTACATAACTTTGTGTATGTATGTTTTTCAACAATAGTGGTGCAATGACTTGTTGCACCACAAGTCATTGTTCAATCCACAAATACATATTATTCCATATTTATGAAAGCTTACATCAGCCCACGGTCTTGATAGATTGATTAGAGGTATATGAGTGGCCACACCTTAACATGAGGCCTGGTTTTGCAGCTTCATGACAGATAGCCACATGAAAGAGGTTTTGACAAGAAATACTAAAACTTAGGACAGTGGGCAAAGAAGAATTTTCCAAGCTGTTGCAATTTCTTACATTTTTGTCCACTTTTGGAGCAGCAAACTGTTTCATCACTACTCCGGTTTCACGGATGGCTTTAATTTGATTCTTATGCAAATTCAACCACAATGCAGCAGGTGTGAGTAGTTTGGACTTATTCCTGTGAAACCTCACAGTTGTTCTTCTTCTAGTCACAAATAGAACAGGTTTCGAAATCACAAAAACAGAGGGAAATATTTCTGTGTATTGAACTGCAGGTTCAGACATGATCAAGAAACTTATTGGTCATGCTGCATATTTTCATCATTGCTCTATTTTAGGAAAGCATAATTTCCTAGTAAGGGACAATTTCATCAAATAGTTAATAAAGGTCAATCACACTCAGTTTGCAAACAGAAACAAGAAATATCAATCAACAAGAGGTTTGCCCTCTTGTGTACCCAGGTTTCCAGATGATTTAGAGAAAAAAAAAATGGAACAATGGAAGGAGTCCTAAGCACCAATTTTTTCTGGAGGAAAATCTGAGGACTTCAACAGACATACATATATGCATGCACACATGAGCACACACACAGAAGCCTACACCCCACACACTGACAGACAGACAGACGTTCAGACAGATATCTAAAGAAAAAAAAATCCAAAAAAGAAAACCCTCCATTGGTAGAACACATTGACACAATCAGTGACATCATACAGCCATTTAAGCAGGAAATACTGGGCTGGCCGCTCCCATACACCTGCTCAGGCTGTAGCATCTAAAAGGGACAAATAATGGTTAGTAAAAAGAAAAAAACAATCCTAAAAATGTACATTGAAACAAAATAAACATTCATATTCAGCCAGTGGTCCAGAAGTGCTAGCTTTAGCTAAAACTTATGCATTCATGAGGACTGTAACATAATGCTACCACAACAACAACAAAAAACAAACAAACAAGAGAGTGAAGCAAAGCTGCAACAGCAATGTTTAAATTACAGCATTATGACTAACTATAAAAATATTGGATACATATGAAATATATTTGAGGCACAAGTGGTGAACACAAACGTGACTGCTTTGTAACACAAACCTGGAAATCTCAGCATTATCAAAAATTAAAACCTGTCATTATACTTCAACTAATGTTGCAGTACTGATGTAGAGGAAGGTTCCTTTATTCAAGACTTATTGTCTTTCCACGACCAATACTTACTTATAAAATGTTTAAGAATTGGTCTTCTTCAAATTTTAACCTTGATAAAATATATAACAATGAATATGTGTGAATACATCATGTATCCAATTAGAGGATCTACAGACCACAGTAGATTTGTTTTCATAATCAAAGACAACATTGATGGGAAGTACCACTTCTTTCCATGAATAAAATAAAGCTCAATCTCGTCTTCATGTACAAATATTTCAATTTTAGCTTTTACAACTGTCTTTAAATTAATGAAAACAAAGTAGAAAGTGAAGTTGTGCGTTTTTTAAGTTCTGAAAAAGAATGCAGGAAAAGAGACACCTCCTACACGTTATCAAATCTTTATTTTGAAACAGCCAATAAAAGAATCTGATACTTTGACACACATAGTTTGGCCATTTTGAAGCTCCTCCTACACCTCGCTGGTAGTAAAGTACCAGCGAGGTTGCTGAAAGGACAGTACGAAGATGATTGCGCTATTGGGTACATTGCTTCTTGTTCGTTGTGCATGTGAGTACTTGAAGATTTTTGTCATGACGCGCATTCTGTTTAATATAATATATTCTATTTTTATTTTTCTTTAGATTCTTTTATTCCAGTGAAGCCAGTTTCGCTTGGTGAATCTGTGATGTTCAACTGCAATTTCCCCGATATTGAGATCAGCCAAAGACAAGTCATCTGGTACAAGCAGAGTCCAGGAGAAAATCTTAGAACGATCGTGAAATTCACTTTGAGATACCAAAAGCCTCCAACCTCTGTGCTTTCACCAGAGTTTTCAGACTCAAGATGGGAGGTTGGTGTTAATGAAACATTTAGCAGTTTGAAGATTTTAAGAGCAACTCAAGAGGATGAGGGAATTTATCACTGTGCAGTTGAGGACTGGACCGGAACCAATAAATGGAATGGGACATATCTGATTGTGAAAGGTAAACTACATCATCTAAAACCTTAGAAATACACCTGCTTTCAAAGTGGGGTAAAATGTGTTAAGAAATTATCTGAAGACAGAAAACTCCTTAGTTGTGAGAAGATTTCTTAACTTAACCCTTTCATGCATGAATGATCCTTTGTGTCAGGATTTTTTTAAAATTGTTTTATTTGTTGTAATTTTCTCGAAATACAAAGTTGTCATTTGAAAAATACATCAGGAGTTTTGTTCTTTAGGTGTTATCTAATGTCACAATATGTGTTTTTACCTGCAAGACTCATCTACAATAGAAGGAGGAACAGTGTTGGTTACCGTACTTTCTTGTCTGTTGGCCATATTGGATTTAACTAAAATATTTTCTTGCATTTGCAGCTGATGGCCAGTAGTTCATAGTGTATGATGCATTAGTGTCCGCTTCAGTGGTCTGTGTGCATTTATAACATAAAACTCCACAAGAAGCACAAGAAAATGGCTTTTAGATAGCTGTCCACTGTAGTGACCACTACGGATAAAAGCGTTAAACTATAATAAATTGATATTTTATTGTCAAATTTAGTCATTACCCATCAATTTTATTTAAAACAAAATGCAGGTAGCTTCATGCTTGTTGAATTGTTTTTCAAACTGTTCATAATGTTAGAGCAATGGTCTGTTTGTGCACTTTCCAGGAAAAACTTCGAAGACATCAGACTACACCATTTTTCGCCAGCCAACAATTTTAGCTCCAGGCCTCTCGGCGGATCATAGGACTCTACAGTGTTCAGTCTTCACTGATCTAGAAAACACAATGTGTTTAGAGGATCTCAGTGTGTTCTGGCTTAGAGCTGAAACAGAAGAATCTCATCCTGACATCATTTACATTGATAATAATAAACGTGGTGAATGCAAGAAGAAATCCAACAGTGAAAATAGTTGTTTTTACCACTTTTATAAGAACATTTCCTCCCCTGACTCCGCATTTTACTACTGTGCCATTGCTACATGTGGAAAGATTTTATTTGGAAATGCCACCGAAAGTAAGATTGATGAGTTTCTCCACAACATAAAGAATTATATACATATCATGTAACAAATAGGGTTCTCCAATAAATGTCTGTCTTTTTTCTAGAGCAATCTGGAGGACTTCAGCTTATAATCCTTGTGATATTAGCAACATCCTTGGTTACTTCTGTGATTGTGAATATTGTTTTCATCTGTTACCAACCTCTAAGAACTGGATGTAAATGCTTCAAAGGTAAGTTTGAGCTGACTAACCCAAGGGTTTTACTCTACAGTGAAAATAATGTTAGAGCAATGGTCTGCTTTAACTAAACCTACCATTGAGGAAAATTGTGAACTCATATTTATTTTATATGCTTATTGTTTCACATTACTTGCACCATATACACTCAGTGTCACCATAGTGTCTTAAATTGAATATATACATTTAGTCAGTTTATTTTATCCCTATTGATCAAGTTTGACGCTCAATCTCTTTTGGAAATTAGGAAAAGTTCAAACAAACAGTAAAGTTTGTTTGAACCACATAACAACACAAACATTATCTTATTGCAGTTATGAGCGTTACTAACAGGATTAAACCAAAATGTTCAGTAAAGGTGGTAAAATTTTAAGAAATTGTAAAAAAAATTTTACATTTAAATTTTCCTGCATTTACTTTCAGATGGAAGGGAAACTACCACTTCACAGGAAAGGAATGACTTTAGCAAACAATTATCTGAAACTGTGAGTAATTA